TTACTAGGACACATTCGGCTAATATCATCTCTCTTGTAGAAATTTTGTAAAACATTAAGTGGAAGGCATCGAATCTTGTGGTTTATTTTGTTATGATTCAAAAGTCAGGTTCGCCATTGATGTTCAGTAATATCGCTTTAAAATGCTTCGAGAAGTAAAGTTTATGAATTGTCTTCTAGCTTTTCTACTACTATTCAGAATTTTAAAATTGCTTGTCACCTATTTTATTAAATTCTCATTAAAAATAAAACGTTGCTTTAACTTCGGTAGATACGCTATAACCTTTTAACAGTTCTTCTGTTACAACTTTTGGCGAACTGCTCTTCAAAGATTCTTTTTTCTTATATTTGCTCAATTTCGTTTTATAAAGAATAACTCCTTTCTTATACTTTTCCACTAATTTTTCCATTTCCTTTAATCTTCAATCAGTAGCTGAAAGCTTTCTTAAGACTCGCTTTCCTCCAGCCTTGGCACGTGATTATAAATTTCCTATCATGGGTGTCGTTTGATTCCTGAGTAGAAGCAGAAGGTTGCAGAATTTGTATAGTTCTTTCTGTTGTTTCTTTATGTTTTCTCTTTTGTCCCTTCGGGTCTTTCAATTTATTCCGTAGCGCCCGTTTGTCACTGTTAGATACTTCGCCAATTATCTTAATTTTTCCTTCTTTCCTTGGTTTGTGGTTTCTTTGCCGCTCCCCTTCATTAGCATTTTCATATTCATCAGGATTATTGCGGATTCATTCTGGGCACCTTCTTTTACTGTCTCTTTTCTGTTGTCTGTGTTTACGGCATCTGTTTTTGTTTTCGCCATTTCTAAAACTGTAACAGGACCGCAGTATTATTTCTGAAACGTAGTAACATAACGGTCAATTTAGAAATTCGAAAAAGGTTGTTAAAGGTGTATGTTTGGAGCACGGCGTTGTACGGGTGCGAAACGTGGACAGTGAGAGCGGCGGAAAAGAAAAGGTTAGAAGCGTTCGAAATGTGGTGTTATAGGCGGATGATGAGGATATCGTGGGTAGAAAAGGTTAGAAATGAAGAGATATTGGAAATAATAGGAGAACAGACGACTCTATGGAAGTCAATAAGAAATAGGCGAGATAGGTTGGTAGGACACCTTCTTAGACATGAAGGTCTAGTTAGAGGCATATTAAAAGCACAAACAGGAGTTAAGAGGAGTAGAGGTAGACTTAGATTAGATTACTGTTGGAGGATGTGGGTTGTTCTAGTTTTAGGGAAATGAGAAGATTAGCTCATGACAGGAAGGGGTGGAGATGTCCAACCAGTCTTAGAGAATAAAGGGGATGCAGATTTTTTAAAATAGTAGGAGTAGGTATCAGATAACAATTGATAAAACTACAAACGCGAAACATCTTTTTTGACTGATCCACCGATAATTGTTTTACGTAATAACGAAATTAATAATAATAATATTGCTAATAATAATAAAAAAGTCGATTTTGTTTTATAAATGTATTTAATTATGTGTACGTACGTATAATTTAAGAATGCGTAAATTCAAATATTTTTTAACAAACAGAAGTCATTTCCAGTATGTTTACATAATTGTAGTCATAATTGTTTGCACCGAAGTCGTTAAATAAACATTGCGTAATTTGAAATACGGAACTTTCGCAAATTTTATGTAGCAATTCACATTTGTTGTTAACTAAAATAGCAATTTGCTTCATTAGAAATTTTAAAATTTAATAACACACAACTACCAATTTTACGATAGGTACAGAGGTTGCCTATTAAAACAAGTACAAAATGAAGATTACGATTATCACTTTGCAGCTTTACAACCTGCATAAAATTAAAATTATTTAACATCTTTTTAGTAAACATAACTGTAGACTTTTTTAAAAACGGACACGTGTTTCGCCCACTATGAATGCGAACACTACCTAATTAAACAATGACGTCATCAATGCATATTTGGCGAGAACAGCTGACGAAGGGCTGCAGCCAGGGCCGTACTAACCGGAATTTCCTCCAATTAAGAAAACTTTAGGAGCCTGTATCTCAAGCTACATTGGTTTCCGCACGGAATTAATGCTACCACACGATTCTACTTGGTCAGTACTACCTACCTGACTAAACTTCATGTCTCAATTCCAATGTCAACTAATGTAAAAAATNCGGTAATTTATCGTTTGAATCGTACTGTATCTGTAACACGCATCAATACAAATAAGATGAAACTGAAAGTCAAGGTAATGCGTGGAGTAGTGCTGCCTACTACATTTTACTTTACTTATGTGTATATGATCGTGTATTAACCCAAGCCTTCCTTTGTAACATTGAAGTGGACCATGAACCGTGGATGCCTGACATCAATAATGACCCCGATGGGTGTGGTGGGTGCATATGCCATCGGCACAGCAAAGACGGAAAAATTAACAGATACTCATGAAACTTTTGAAATTACGAATAAAAATTCCGTACCCATGAAACATACATGGTGTCCCAAAAATTCTCCACTTCTTAACTCATTCTATTCGGAACTGTCATGAAGGCCTAGCCTTTTAGTTGCAAAGTTTAATTTAGTGAAAGTGAATTTATTAATTTAATACTTTGTTCGAGTAACATTTTTAATAGAACAACTTCAAATAGTATTCAATTTGCATATTTTAAGTTCAAATTAAACCTATAATTTTTAGCGTATTGACGATTGAAGACCTGCAATAGTTACAGGATTATTACTAACAAAAATTAATTAAAATCGTGTCCTTTATGAAAACTTTTATTTTATTATTTTTTTTTAATCTGTTTAATATCATCAACATTGGGTCGTCAGTCCTAAGACTGATTGAACACGCACCTTCACTCTTTTCTATCCGGAGTCAATCTTTGCATTTCCCTAAAACTAGAACATCCCATATCTTCCTACTCTTTCTAATACCTCCTCGCTTGAACCCTCTCTATCTACGGTATCCTCATCGTTTGCCTGTAACACCACATTTTGGACGCCGTCCACGTTTCGCACCCGTACAGACCCTGCGCTATCCCCTGTTTTATATTTCTACTACTCCTTCCATCCCGAATGATTTAACTTCCTAACTACCGAAGATCAACGACTTCTTTCCCTACTTTTTCTTCCCTTACATACCAATATTTTTGTTTCACTTTTATTTATTCGTTTTGTAAATACCGCTTCCATTTTGTTTCCGTCATGATGGCTGTTTAACATTCAAACAAACGATAAAAAACTAAATTAATTTAATTAACATTTTGTACATAATTTTAGACAGATCCCATAATATAATTAATATAACTAATATCGTTCACATAGCACAATCACAATAAGTCACAATAAGTTCCTACATCCTTAATAGATCCCAACAATCAATCAAATTCAGTGCATTTTCCTCCTTGATTGAGAATCTCAACGCGATAATTGCTTCTTAATATTTAAGAACAGAGGAACCGTCTTTGAATGCCCTTAAATAAGCGATCTAGCGCCAGATTCAGTTAAAAGGACAGAACAATCGAACGCAGGACGATTGACGTAACTTTCAACAGTCCCAGACAGACAGCTCCCACGACAACGTAATGTGCTATCCGGAAATAGTATAACCTCCGGAGGGCGTCGGTTACGGTGTCCATGGGATCGTTGAGCAAATATATTCTACCCCCTTTCATTGCCGACAATAAAAACTTCTCCCATCCGAACTCTTTCATGTCAAACGTGAACAACTGCTTATCCTGATCGTTCATTTCTTCCCACAACTTCCGGCTGTTCGAATTGGTAAACTGCCACTGTCTCGTACAGAAATACGAAATGACGTCCGAGAATTTTCCCACTTTTTTGTAAATTGTTACCATTCTAGAAAGAAAACAATTAATGAATCTCCTGTCAGTTCATAACAAGATTAAACTGGGTCATATTTGAAGAAGTCAGGTGAAATAAGGATTGTTTTCCAACGGTTTCAGTTACGTTACAGTAGGTTAGGTTAGGTTAGGTTAGGTTAGGTTAGGTTAGGTTAGGTTATGTTCGGTTAGGTTAGGTTAGGTTAGGTTAGGTTTGGACATGTTAAAACAAAATAATGTCAACGTTAGAATATACGATTTTAGGTCTACACATGATACAAAGATAGAAAATTAGTATTAACAAAAATTCAATTAGTTTGGAACACAGTAGGAAAACTTTACGTGGTTATAAATAGTTCGAGGTCTGTTTTAAGTAGAACTCAGTCCGATTAGAACACGTTAGGGTTGATTACGTCAAGCTTACGACACATTAGATCAATGCAGACGAAGGTAGAATTGATTCAAATCGAATTCAGTTATGATAAAAAACATAAGTTAGGATAAAGTTAGATATAGACATGTTAGAGCGAAACTATTGATGGAAAATAGTATTAACAAAAATCCAATTAGTTTCGGACACGCTAGGATTGTTTTATATAGGTATAAATAAGTTAGAACAAAAGCAAATTGAAAAAGGTCTGTTTTAAGTAGAACTTGGTCCGATTATAACACGTTAGGGTTGGTTACGTGAAGCTTACGACATCCTAAACCAATAAAGATGAAGATACAACTGTGTCAAATCGATTTCAGTTGTGATGAACGACATAAGTCTGGATAAGGTTAGGTATAGACATGTTATAACAAAACTAATGGTGGAAGATGGTATTAAGAAACATCCAATTAATTTTGGACACTCTAGGATAGCTTTATATAGTTATAAATAAGTTAGAACAAAAGCAAAATAAAAATGGGTATGTTTTAAGTAGAACTTAGTCCAGTTACAACACGTTGGGGTAGGTTACATGAAGCTTACGACACACTAGATGAATGCAGATGAAGGTAGAACTGATTCAAATCGAATTCCGCGTATCTCTATTTGATTTACGTGTTACATTTTGATTTGTCTGTTAATTTCTTACCTGGGTTTCTTGCCTATACAAAAGAGTATCACGTCCGCCGCGTAAGCCGGCAAACTGTGGAAGAAGAAGACGAACAACAAGTGAACGAAACGATTAGGATTTAAGGTGAACCAGTAGTACCAAATTTGGAACATGCTAGGCATTTCCATTCCGTACACTTCCAGGATACTCATGTATTTTTCTGAAAGATACAAAGTAAATTTTTAAATTGTAAACATGTGTTTTTGCCTCTGTTCGAGTGCGAAACGTGAATGGTGCGCATGACAGAAAAGACAAGGTTAAATATAAGGAAGTGCTAGAAAAGGTAGGACAACTAAGGGCGCTATGGAAGACAAGGATGGTAGGACACCTATTTCTATTAATAATGGAGAGTATTTATTATTGTTATTATTATTAGTCCACTGTTTAGTTTGCGACCGGAATTGATACCGCTTTCAGTTAAATGTTTGTTTAATTATCTTTCATTTTAAGTAAATATTATTTCTTTAAAAATTAAAACTCGTATTAACACTTAACAATTTCGTCGACACCTTTAGTCCGAGATAAAACTCTTTTAATTCTTTAAATATTACCTATTATTTCAAGTGTTAATATTCTCCAAGAGCCCACAATATCTTCTCATTCTTAGCATTTTAAAAAGTACCCTTAATCTTTGGTGATGATTTGATTTATAAGCCTTGAAGTCCTTCCTACATTTAATCCTTCAATTATTACCTATCATTTCAAGTGTTAATATTCACCAAGAGCCCAGAATATCTTCTCATTCTTAGCATTTTAAAAAGTACCGTTAATCCCTGGTAATAATCTTATTTATAAGCCTAATAATCCTTGTTGTATTTATTCCTTTAAATGTTACCTTTCACTACAATTGTTTATCTTTCTCACAACTTAGAATATCTTGTCGCATTTATTATAGTTAGGGGCATATTATTAACAGAAATAGGATTCCAGGGGGGGCATAGGTAGACATATGTGAATTAAATTACTTTTTTGCGAATAGATAAAATTATGTAGTTTTGAGGAAATGCGAAGATTGGCTTTCGAAAGAAATGAGTAAATATACGGGTCCAGCCAGTCTTTGGACTGATGGCCTTGCAATGATGATGATGAAGATAATTTACAGGGTGTAAATGTTAGGCCCGAAGACCGAAAACGCTCAGTGGCCGGAAAAAACGGCCGCATCGCGTTCTGGCTGCCTTCGAACGCACAGAACGCGTTTTGGCTGTTTTTAAACTGTTAAACAGCCGGAACGCGTTTTGTCAATTGTTGAACTCCCACAACGCGTTCTTAATGTTCGACTTAGTAGTTTGAGTATATAATAACTAACTTGACTTCATGAAAAATCAGTACAGTTCTCGTCAGTGTAGCGAGAAGATCAGTTCGTCATTGACTAAACAACTTACTAAAGTCGTTTGAAAAGTTACACTTTCATTAAAATGACCGATAAATCAGCGAAAGAAATTTTTTATGATAAAGTAAAACCAATTATTGATAGTTGTGACGATAGATCTATG